CGCCCCCGCAGCGGGGCTTCCTCGTGGTGCGGGGCGACCCGCGCGAGCTGCGGCGCCCGGCGCGCGGGGATGCCAGCGGGCTGAGCCCGGCGGAGGAGCAGCAGCTCCGGAGGAGACGGAGCGCAGCCCAGCAGCCGGAGCTCCTCAAGGTGTACGGCCAGGTGAGCGGCTTGGCCACGCGCCTTCCCTCGCAGCCCGCGCTTCCTCCACCCCGCATCCATCCTTGGCAGGCGCCTCCCAGGTGCGTGCGGGCACCGCCGGGGACTTCCCGGCTTGCATTTGTTTTTTTCCACCCGCCGCCACCGGGGCACGGCCGTCAGCCCTTGAGTTACATTACTCTTACCTTCCTGGCGATGGTGGCGAACGGATGCCAGGTAGCTCGGAGCGCAGTGCCTGCTTCCCCAGGGTGGGCGCAGACCCGCGGAGTCCCCGACAGGTACGGGGAGGGGTCGGCTTCGGGGCCGATCTGGAAGAAAACAGCTCCCTGTAGTGTGGCTTCCGTTGGCAGTGGAGCGAGCACCCTGCAGTTGCAGCACACTTACAGAGAACAACAAGAGGAGGGGGTCCCTGGTCACCGTTTCCAGCCACACGAAGTGGGCTAGCTCTAAAGGCGTGTCGTCGACTCTCCTGGCACACAGTGTGTGTGCCTCTATTTCTCCCCCTACCCCTTCAAGATTAGGACTTTATTCTGGACGAACACATCCCCCATAGCACTTGGAAATTTGATTGAGAAGACAACGAAGATTTGAGGGACACGATTATTTATTAAGAGGTTTATTTTCATCCAGGCCATGGGTTTCTTAACTCACAAGGAACATACATTTCACCTTTATGGTCAGACTTAGTGCATGGTATTGCAAACGGAATTTTATCTGTGACCATCAGGCTTAGCAAAATTAATGTGGCTGTTTTATTGGCCCTGGGCTTGGGATTGACTTGTGATGTAGGAAGAAAAACTAGTGGAGGAGGTAAATAAACATGCTCCTTTGCTAGCTTCAAGTGAATTCCCTTTTAAAGCCAAACTGGACGGTTGGACTGAGTTCTGTCCGCTTCTCCTTGGTTTTCCCGTAGGCATTTCTTCAGGAAATTCAGAGTCACATGTGAAAACCTGAAGCCAGGAAGGACCTTATAAGCCACCTGGTCCTCTTCTGTCATTTTGTTAATCTAGAGACTAATGCTTGCAAAGGAGACGTGATTGTCTCTGTGGTGACTGGCAGGGCTGCCTGCCTCTCCGTATTTGTCTGCAGTCTCTGTGACCTTTGGGTGAGCAAAGAGTCGCCCTGTTTCTCTATAGAGTTTCTGAAATATTTAAGGAAATGTTTTTGGTTAAAAGCAGGGGAGGGGTGGAGGCAGTGGGTGAGTGCATTTGTCTACATCCACCATCAGCCCCAGGTACGCACAGCAAGAGCATGCATGTAGGCAGGGGCTGCAGGTCTCTCTGGGACCCAAGGCCTTGTTCCCTTCTCCCCCAGATCCTCCTGTGGCCTCTCTAAAACTTCCTTTTTTGAATTGCTAAGAAAACAGGTTGGGCCTGGATCTCTGCAGAGACATCCTGATTCTGTCTTTCCAGTGAGCCCAGCACTGCTGGGGCCTGTACTCAACCTTCCAGGGACCGGGGATGTCAGGAGGGAGAAAGATGAGGATTTCTACTTTCCTGAAGTGTTATAATCTTGGGAACTCACTAGGGCAGTTCTACCCTGTGCTGTAGGGTCGCTATGAGTTGGGATCTAACTCGGTGGCAGTGAGGGTTGTTTTTTTTTTGAGTGTCTGTAGGTGGGAGACAGTCCTCCTGGGGCTCATCTCTCCCCTACCCCTCTAGTACTGTTGAAGGAAAAGGAAGTTGCTTCCTGGTCACAAAAGTATACACCAGGCGCCGTATCTTCTGTGGCTTTGCTTTATGAAAGCTTTTGGGGCTTGGGGGCAAGTTAGATATGAGCGCCGCTCTCTGGCAGTAACTTAAAAAACCTGGCCTTTTCATGTTTCAGAGCCAGCCGGCTTGAGTTCGGCCCAGTGGTAAAAGATGGAGAGCTAGCAGTGGAGCTCTTCATAAGGAATTCTATCCAAGGCTGATGCGATGGGGCTGCATTTTTCTTTTCTGTGGCTGCCCCGGTGGCCAGTGGGCTATGCATTGAGCTGCTAACCACAAGGTCAGCGGTTCAAATCCACCAGCTGCTTCAAGGAAACAAGATTAGGTTGTCTACTTCCATAAAGATTTACAGTCTTTATGGACAGTTTATGGATCTGTCCTCAGTTCTACTCTGCCCTATGAGTCAGGATGGACTCAGTGGCAGTGAGTATTTTTTGAGTGAGGCTTCCTGAACTTTTGTTCGATGTTGCCCGGACACTAATAAAAAGGGTGCTTGACTTGGCTACCTACGGGTTTGCTTAGACTTGCTGGTACTGGCTTTGCCATCCCACACTCTGTAACTACAGAAATCCTTGCTTTGAAGGGGCTTGGGGCACCCCTCTTGGATCTCCCATGAGCTCACTAGATGGAATGACTTTTAGCAAGGGTGCCTGCTTGCCCCTATTCACCCCCCACCCCCCCACACAACCTGCTTTGTACGCATTCTCTGCTGGTTATAAATAGCGCCCCCTTTGCTCACAAGACCATCAGGATGCAGGCTGGAAATTATGAGGACATTGTACATGTCGCCCTCAACCAAGCTCTTCTCCACATCCTTTCTCCCCCTTTCTCCCGGAAATCTAAACAATATTTCTTAAATCAATTGTGGTTCTGTAACGAGTTTAGGGTGCAGATGGGGGATAGGAAATAAGATTTCATCTGTACTTTCAGAATTTTAGGAGGAGGCAAAGCAGGCATGTAAATGTCCTGGAGCCTAGACCAATCTACCAGTCTCACCTCTGCTGACCTCAAGGTCAGCAGTTGGAAACCATCAGTCACTCCCTCCAGGGGAAAAAGACCAGGCTTTTTACTTGAGTTTCTGTATGATGTAGGAGGCTCCATGGTAGCATAGTTAAGTTACATGTTGGGCTGCTAACAAGAAGGGGGGCAGTTCAAACCCACTAGTTTCACACAGGCAGAAAGACGAGGCTTTCCTATCCCATAAAGATTTAAAGTCTTGGAAGCATAAAGGAGGTAGTTCTACTCTGCCCTATAGGGCTCCCTTAAGTCAGAGTCGTCTTTTGGGTATGATCGTGGAGGGCTTGGGGAGGTGGGATGATGAGGTAGACACCAGTCCTTTGCAGCATCTTGCCTTTCACAGGTTAAGTGAGGTCAAGAGGATGCCTAAGCAGCAAATACGTTGGTGGGAAGCCGACGTGTCTGATCAGAGAAGCCCTAGAAATGACTTGCAGGCCAGGACGGGGCGAGGGGAAGGCTTTTATAGGGAGATCTCTGCGTCTGAGAGAAGATGCCCTGTCCTGTGTTGGTTCTTTTTCCTGCTTTGTTACCTTAAAGAGTAAAATGCTATCCAAGTGTTCATAAAGTTTTCATTGGTTGATTAAGAAAAAAAAGTTTTATTGTGAATTAGGCAGGGGTTTATATTTCTAATCATCAACTTTGTATTCAACTACTTAAATTACTTATCAAACCTCCCAATAGCTTGCCCTGCCGACCCCCCTTCCTTTGATTTTTCTTCTCTCGTGGAATACTGTCTTCTCCTTTGCAGGTGAACACCTGTCTACCCTCTAGTTCAGGAGAAAGATGGGCTTTCTACTCCCATAAAAAGTTAGTCTCAAAAAAAAAAAAAGTTAGAGTCTCGAAAACCCACAGGGACAGTTCTACCCTGTCCCACAGGGTCGCTGAGTCGGCATTGACTCGATGGCAGTGGGCTTATCTAGTTACCCTCTAGCTTGTTGCCTCACATCCCTTTCCCTTAACCACCAGCGTTTGCTTTTTTGAAATGAAAAAACCTTTGTCTCGTTTTCCCCCATTCTAACAGCGATCTCATACAATGTTTGACTTTTGTGAAGTTGTGACCAACTTCACTCAGCATGATCTTGTCCAAGCCTGTGCACGCCATAGGGCGCTTCACAGCTTCATCATTGCTTAGCGATGCCCAGGGCTCTGCGTGTCTGGACCAAAGTTTATCCGTCCCTCCACCGTGGCCGCGTAGGCTGGTTCCATCGTCTGGTCTTAGGAAGAGTGCAGCTGTGATCGTGTGTGCACGTATGTCTGTTGGGGCTTTGGCTCTTTCTTCTTTACGGTATATGGTAGTTCCAGAATGTTACATCAGCCTGAAGACATGTAAAAGTGTAGGGGCGGTGTCCAAGCTGTCCATCAGATCACAGACCGATGGTGCTTCCTTGTGGGCTTGGCCTTCTCATAAGGAGGGCTGGGAGAGGACGCCCCTGCCTTGACTTTCCTGCTTGCTGGACACCCTGAGAGCTGCTGGAGCCCCGTGCTGTTTCCACTGACCTGCCATTCATGTAACTTTGCATGAGCGGCCGGTGATCTTCCTGTGTCCTGCAGCAGGGTGTGAGGTAGCCTGAGCCTGAAGCGGGACTTAGGAACTCGAGTTGGACTGGGCTGGCATCCTTTCTTGATATATAATTACGCCTTGATTTATAGCTCCTGCTTACACTTATAATAAGTGTCACTGTATTTGATTTCCCAGTCAATCGGCCTAACACAGAGTGGATACCAAGCAGAGGGATTGCCGGGCTGCGTGGAATTTCCAGTCTCAGTTGTTAGAGGCAGCGCCATATTGCTTTCTCCGGCGGTTGCACATTTTCACAGTCCCCATTGGCTGATTTTTGCACGTGGATCACTAGGGCTTGGGTCACTAGAAAGTCCTCCCTCACCTGGAGGCTCCCCTGAAACTAGTTCAGTGCTATTACCACACAAGAGCGCCTCCACGGACAGCTGGGAGGTCCATGAAGCGTTTTGGCAGGGAATTGAGCCCAGCTCGTCCACAGGCATGGTGTGGCGTCTACCACCCTCGCGCGACATCAACTAGATGTGGTTACTTTGATCACATTGATCCTCAGATTCTCTAATATGATTTGTTTTTTGGCCAGGTTAATTTAGAGGCATGTTTGTAATTATAATTAAGTAGGGTAATGAAAGTAACCGGTCTTGAATATTAAGACTTTCCGCCCAAGTTCAAAGTGGTGAAGTTGATTGTCTTCTCAAAAAGTCCGCAAAAGGCGGATTGGAATCCACGCTATATGGCGGATGGGATTTCTTCCTGATTTC